CCTAATGCATGACGAGTGGGTCAGTGAAGGATTCAATGTTATTGCAGAGCTATTGTGTGGCTGCGTATGACGAACCAGTGAGGCAAGAAGTGAATGATTGCAGTGAAACAGCTCTTGCACACAGAAGTCTAGAACTGCTATCGAGAACATTTTCAACCCAGGCAGCACTGAAGGCAGCACATCAAGCGCCTTGCCTACCAGCCCCACTGTTGGAACCAGGGCATTGGTCATGGATCCAGAGCATTCCGAACCATCTGACTGGGCTGGACAAAGGACACAAGTGGTGGCAGCTATTTGACACTCTCCCCTACAAGCAGGCAAAAATCGTGCCATGAAATTGACTCCACTGTCGCTGGGCGAGAAATGCGGTGCACTGCGCTGGGCAAGTGTGCCAAAGCTGCTCTGTGCTGCTGCATGTGCTTGTGCTGCTTGTGTGTGACGTGTGCTGTGTGTGTTCTGTTCGTTTGAACATTACAATGTAGTGATATTTGAAAATAGGATATTCGACTTTTTAGAGTAATCGACTTTAAGCCTTTGGCCTAAATGCCATGTCTTGAGTTCTGATCGATTTTAAAGGTATCACATGAAATGGTCATCCCCAATTATGGATCGCACCTTAAATTTTTTCTACGCTGTTTTGGTTCCAAATTAGCGCGGTTTGAACATTAAGACCGCGATGGACTTGGCGCGCCATCTTGAATTTGACCTGCAGTCACGGGTCTTCAGAGGTCAACTCTGACTTCCTCTCCACATCTTAAAATTAACATAAGGTATATTATAACTATGCTAGAAATTTCATGCTTTTCTCATAAAATGCACAAAGTGTTGTGGTTATCTCTGCACAGTATGGCGGTTAATAATGAAAATTTTGTCTTATTAACCCCTGATAATATATATATATATTATATAATATATCAGATTATATATATAAATATATAATAATAACTAATATATATATCGCTATATATAGCGGATAATATATATTTAGTTATTTATTTATTAGTTTTATATATAAATATATATTGTTTATGTCGAAGACCGCCGGGCAGGTAAACCTTAGCTATAATTTATGTTCGCATATGTGCATGTTCGCTCGCTTCGTGAATGTCTTTGAGCGTGCGTGGTGTTCGTGCGTGTTCGTGTGTTTATGTTCGCATGGAAGGTTCTCGCCTGGGAGGTTCTCTTTCTCTGTTATCGTTGTTCGGGTGATTTTTGTTCAGGAACATTCTGATCGTGTGTTCGTATGTGTTCGTGCGTTCGGGTGGTTCTCAAACTACCATTGCCTCTGTTATCGTTGTTCGCAGAAACATTCTGATCCGAGCGAAGGACGTAGGAACGACGGCTGTCTACAAGGTTCCATCCGGTCCGTGACCGCCAGGGGGCGCCACGCCAGAGGGCGCCAACGACGTAAATGTTAGTTCGTCGGAGGCGGACGATCGACCGTCGTCGTTGTTCCTTGGAGTTCACGAACGATAAATGACAATAAAGAATGTTCACCATCGTCTGTTGTCATTGTGTGTTGTCATTGTCTGTTGTTGTCAGAAAGAATTTGTAATGAACTGTATAAAGTCTTATATCTGTCGAACTTGTAAGCAGTATCTGTCCCAGGTTGACCAAAAACACGTCTTTGCCGGCGAAAAAACACTGTAGATGGCGCTGGCCTGCCAGAAATAAACGCACCGTGGTCTAAACAGGTGACTCGCACGTTCTAAATCTCATCTTTTACTGGGAAATGTCTTTCGTTTTGGTCCGTAACATTAAACATACATGTACACCTGATTATTATTGCTACGTGGGCGTCGTCACCGCCGCCGCCGCCGCGGGGGCGACTCCCAAAAAATACGTGTGCGAGCGTGTGTGCGTGCGTGCGCGTTAGTGCGCGCGTGATGGTAATAACGTGTATTACAGCCGTATATACACATTTCGTATGCATCCGCTGGGTTCCGAATAAAACAATATTGTTTTAATACAGGCGCCAGCTTCCCATGGTTGTAAAATGTACGGTAATGTGCGAATTTGATCGTTTTAACTTGAGGGATCAATTAACAGACATCTGTTGCGTATGTCGACGCCCTGTATCTCAACATCTAGCCGCGTACCCGGCGGTGCTCGGGGAAAAAAAAACGCGTAGGAAGAACTTTTAGAGCAAATTCAGCCACATACATTTACTTGATTCTAACGTTAGATTCACCTGCTAAATGCCTGAAAAATGTCATTTTTATGCCATATCCATCCCAGTTGTAAAGAATATTTCCCTTATCATTATCATTATCATAATATAACAACTACACAAACCTCATACAAATGTGCTTAGGCCACCCCTAGGGTGATCAACTAACAGTGTGGCAATTTTGGGGATCCTAAACCAATAAATGGCAGAATGCATAGACATATAGTTCGGTTTTGTAGTAGTATAGATTTGGAAGCGTTAGGGAATGAAGCCATTTCAAGCAAAAGATAACAATGCACGAAACGCTCCATCTACAGTGTTAAAGTCAAAAACTTTATTATTTCATAAAAACATTCATATGATGAAATACCTCGATGACGGACAGGAAGGAAAATAACATCCAAACGAAAAAACCACTTTTTCCGCTAGTAAAAAACTTAACACCGAAGATCCAACTTCAAATGATTACATGAACAGGAAGAAAAACACAAACCGACGAACGGCCAAGCACTCTGCGTGCGAACTTCGCACATAACTCTCACCAGCGCCCCCTACTTTCCTGCTCCGCCACGCGTCCGCCCCGGTCGCTCAAACCCGGGCGCGCAGTTACGGAAACAAGCGACCATTTCATTCGTCCGACAATAGCGTGCGCGTTCCGCTCGCCAGACACTGCAGAGGGCAGCACTTGTACAGCCCGCTAACGCCGAGCTTAGCGACGTAATGAGCCGTCGCAAACGATCTTTTTTTTTTTACACTGAACAACCCGAGCTTCGATTTTAATTATTTTAAACGGCAATCGATGAACATGGAAGTCGTCACGGCGACGGCCACACGTAGTCACAACAACCAGTAACAATGGCAACAACAACCGCACGGAGCGTCGCAGGCTCCCGTCGCGTCGCGGAACATGCAAACACGATTGAAAACGGAATAAACGCTAAACACTGAGAAACCGGATCGTAAATTCGAAAGCGCCCGCCGCGCCAGCGCCACCTATGTGCCGCGGCAGGCGGCTCGACGTCCTAGGTATAAAAGGAGAAACCAAGACAAGATTTTTTTTGTTAAAACGCGACATTCGGCAATTTGAAACATGACATTCCACGTTAAAACATGACTCATCGTCTTAAAACATGACTCACCGTCTTAAAATATGACTCACTGTATTAAAACATGACTCGCCATCTTAAAACACGACTCACCGTCTTAAAACACGACTCGCCGTGTTAAAACATGACTCGCCGTGTTAAAACATGCCACACGCCATCTTAAAACACGACTCGCTGTTCGAAATCACGACTCTTGCAATGTTGAAACACGACTCGGAACGGGTGGGCGGGGAAAGGGGTTAGATCCCAAACGAACACACAAACACGAGGATGCTATAGTCGCTAGGCTTTATCCCGAATAACATTTCGCTCGACGAACGATTCGACGCGGCGGAACGAATTGCGCACGCCAAAGAAACAAGAGAGCGCGCGACGAGAGAAACAAGAGGGCGCACGAGAGACATCTAGCGATACTTATACGTATACGTAAGGTTTCACACGCTACGGTTCAATATACTCGCAATTATAAGAAAACACTTAAAACCCTTTTCACCTGTGGGGATAGGGGGAGCTACTGGCAGGCGCGCGCGCGAGACGACGGCGCCACCTAGAACGAACCGCACCCTCCGGCCGCGCGCAGCCTCGCTGCGCCGAAGGTCGTCGCCGCAGTGGCTCCCTCTGCGTCGCGCGCCGCCGCCACCGCCGAACTACGTCTTAAACTTTTACACTAGGTATAATAAATGAACATGCTAATTGATCCATATTTTATATATATATATATATATATATGTATATGTATAATGCTCCTTACTCTCTCATAACACGTCCACTGTACAACGGCCGACGGTGGCAGCCGATAGATGGCGCCACCGTGTATATTTATAAGTACAAGGGGGCGGGGGGCGGCATGTAATGCGACCGATGGGGACCCCCCACCCCTACACCTGTAAACACACGTTAAGACACGGAGAAAAGTTTCAACACGAAGTACGTAAGATACTCTTTATGTACGTAGAGCGGCGCCCAACGAAGACGCGCTCAATCCACCGCGGTGCTGCCACCTATGCACCACCTTGGGGGATAGAGAGCAGCACTGTTTGTGTGTGTACGCACGCATATTTATGGCATATATATATATGTATATATATATATTCATAAACATATATATATAAATATATCTATATATAGATGCATACACACACACACACACACAGACACTATATCAAGAGTACATAATAGAGATCTCATTTGCGGTACATCAGAGAGATACATAACCTCTATAATGTACTCTTGACGTATATTCAGGCGTCTTGTTTGTACGATTGCTGGGATTGACGGTAGTACAGCATGGTAAGCGCAGTGAGTTTAGAATATACAGTGCAAATTACACAGACCTGCTCAGCTACTCTACACAACGATAGAAGGCCACACATCCAAGCTTCCAGGGATCGATCGTCCACATGCACGCACGCACGCACGCACACACGCACACATGTACGCACACACACATGCACGCGCGCACGCACGCACGTACGCACGCATGCACGTACGCACGCACGCAGGTACGCACACACACATGTACGCACACACATGCGCGTGCACGCACGCACACGCATGCACGTACGCACACACATGCGCACTGCACGCATGCACGCACACCCATGCGCGTGCACGCACACGCACGCACGCACGCACGCACACACATGCGCGTGCACGCACGTACGCACGCACACACATGCGCGTGCACGCACGTACGCACACACATGCGCACCGCACGCACGCACGCACGCACACACATGCGCGTGCACGCACGCACGCACGCACGCACGCACGAAGCCGACAACTCAATATAATAAATACCGAGAATATGAGTAAGTGAAAAATAATTACACCTGCAGGTGTAGAGGGCAGCACCCGCCCAGGCTGGAAAATTTTCGGGGGCCGACACCGACCCTCGCCAGAGGGCGCTGCTGAGGGTGTGCTGCCCCCTAGAGGCCTCAGCCGTCGCCGGCGCGGCGACCGAGGTCGTCCAATCACCCGCGCGAGCGAACGCACGCTCGAACGAACCCTGCGCGCGTGCGGCGCCGGGGTCCCGGGTTCAAGTCCCGCTCCCACGAGACTCCAACCCGCCTCCCCCGCGCGCCGCGTCGCTGCCACTGCAACGGCTCAGCACTCAAACCGACGCCGTGCACCGGCGGCAGCGCGAGCGCGCGACCTCCGCGCCAACGCCCCCTGGTGGAGAAGAGAAGTGATCACTATCATCATCCGGGAGACGAAGACCGCCGCAGACCCGTCACAACAGCGACTACAGTGGCGCCCCCTCTCACACCGGCGTGACGGCGGTCGCGCCGCTGCCGCCGTTTCCCTTCGGCGACGAGACGCTCGCGGCCGCGCTGTCCGGCGGCGCCACCTGCTGGCGGCTCCCGGCGGTGGCGGCCCCTAGCGAGCTGGGGTTGGCGTGCATGAGGGAGAGGCGCTTGGCGTGCAGCTGCGAGACGACGCTCTGCAGCGACGGGTTGCCGGCGAGCGAGCCGGACTCCAGGTGCGTGTCGACGCCCATGCGGAACGCGTTAACAACGCGGATCTGAAACACGCAATCGGAGAAGCCGCGTCCATAACTAGAGATCGTCATGACTGAAATGCGTTCGTTTGATTTCGTTCGAAACTATGAATTCGTATTTATCTTGTGTGGAAATCCAAGAAATTAACTTACTATCGAAATTTTCGGGGAAATCTTCATTGAGATTCATCGACATCCCTTCATGATGTCACCTGCTGCCACCTATGGTGACGTCACATCCTGATAACGATGTCCCGAAGAGAGGTCGAAAAATTTCGATAGTAAGTTGGATTTCTTGGATTTAACGCAAGATAAATATGAATTCACGCAAGGAGAAGCCGAGACGCCGGCGTGAGACATGGTCGGGTCACGGGGGTCGGGTCACGGGGGTCAGGTCACGGGGGTCGCGTCACGGGGGTCGGGTCACGGG